AAAGGGTGAAAGGCATACTGGGAACGGGAGCGTGGCCTGCTGGGAAAAAGGGTGAAAGGCCTTCTGTGAAACGTGGAGACAACTGACAAGCCCGCTGACGGCCTTAGGGTCCTCCAACAACAGACGGGCTGGAGTTGGGTGTGAATTCTAACTAACAGGCATATGTGCCTGTGGAAACTCGTAATCAACGTGCAGTAGCTCTCGGGTTTGGAAAGCCTGGGGGCGTCTCTGCACACCGTGCTCCCCACTCTTGAGGACGTACACACTCACACCGCGGTTGTCGTTGCCTCTTTGAGACGACGCAGGCTGCCAGGCACCGTCCACTTCTCTAGGGGGGACTCCTTTCCGGGCCGGGAGGTGGCGTTCCACTCGTCCCCTGTGCTTTCTGCTGTTTGGTGTCGGTGAGGGCACCTCGATTACGGGGCCCGAGCTTCCAAAGAAGGGGCTGGTGGGGGCGGAAGCAGTGGGAGAGGAGCCAGGAGGACCGGCTGGCCTGACTAAAGGCCCTCATCCGAAGCCCGTGGGGGGTGTGAAGCCGGGAGGGATGGAGACAAGCATTCCGGCTTTAGTTTTGTTACTTTCTGCTGGAAGATGGGTTCTGTGTGTGAGTGGCGTGGTGGGGGGGGGGGAACTGCCCGCAGTGAGGTCAGGTGGGCGGGGCCACGGTGCGGTCCGAGGACCTGGAGCCAGGCAGCTGGGAACTGAGGCCACAGCGGGGGAAGGGGCCAAGCAGTGCTTGGGGGTGGTGGTAGTTAGGTGACAGGTAGCAACGTGGGAAGCCTTGCAGGTTCCCGGAGGAACAGGGTTCCCCACCACCGAACACTAAGTAGTCCTCGTGCACGGGGTGCCCAGAAGTCAACTCGGTTCTGACACCATGCACCCAGAGACGCGCCAGGTCCCACGGGTCACGGCCTCCGTCCCGCACCCCCACCCCCACCCGTGCTCCCACCACAGATCACAGAGTGGAGGGTCCTCCTTGGGCTCTTGCAGCCGGTTAGAGCAGCTCCCAGAGGCCAGGGAACCACGTACTCGGGCTTAGCGGTGTGTGGAAGGATGCGATAAAGGACACGAGGCAGCAGCCAGATGAAGAGACGCACAGGGCACGTCCAGGGAGGGCACAGAGCTCCCGAGTCCTCGCCGGGTGCCACTCCCCCCACCCCTCCCTGCCCGGAGGCCTGCGGTCGCAGTCCTGGGCGGTTACGGAGGCCTCGCTGGAGCCCTCTGAGCAGTGGCGGGTCCTCCCGGCAGCCACCCTGCCCCTGGGCAGAGACCCAAAGTCACCTTCGTTAACGTGAGCAGGGACACATCTGTGGCCCTTTTCACTGGAAATTCCATGGGTTTTGGCAGCCGTGAGCACCACATACCCCTGAGCCTTCCCTGTGTAGTGTTAGAATCTGCTAGGTGCTGCACGTCTTACCTGAGAGCCTGCTTAGTGCGAACACGATTACCTGTGAGTAATGTACCAAAAGTAAGATGCTACGTGCACGCTGCTTCCCTTAATCATTCTCCTTTCCTTTTCCCCAGGGGACCGTGAAACAGCTCCTACTGTTCCCAGAGGCGGAGGGGAGCCCATGCTTCCTTGACATCTGTGGAGATTTCCTGGTTGTGGGGACAGACTTGGCTCACTTTAAAAGCTTTGATCTTTCCCGAAGGTATGTTTTTTGTCCAAATAAAAGTATAGACGTATATCGGGAGATATTGCGGGTTCAGATGGAGGCCATTGCAATAGAGTGAATTTCTCAATAAAGCGAGTCAGATTAATTTTTTATTTTCTCGGTACATGTAAAAGATAGGTCTGTTCTCTAGTCAAGTGTGCAGTAGCATTATGTCAAAAAAAAATGTTCGTGCCTTAAATAAGAAAGCGGTTTGTGCTAAAAACCGCCGACCGTCACCTGAACGTTCAGCACCTGTGAGCACAGGTCACCGTAACAAATATGCCAACGATGAAAAGGTTTGAGATAAGGCAAGAATTACCAGAATGGAACCTGAAGACACAAAGTGAGCAAATGATGTTGGCAAAACGGCACCGACTGACTTTTTGACCACGGGGTTGCCGCAGACCTTCCGTTTGTAAAAAACACAGTGTGTGGGACGGGCAGTAAAATGAGGTATGTCCGCACACTTTGTAAAAACTAACCAGGAGACAGCGTGGCGGGCAGAAACGGACAAGAGTCATTTCAACGTTAACGTACCGCTGAATTTTTTGAAATGCTCTATGTCTTGGCTTTGAAAATTTGTTTTGGGCCCATTCTATTCTTGGGGTTGTGCTGCTGTCCGGTGAGCGTGGAGTGAGGGCAATATTGCTGACGCCTAAACAACACCCGTGGCAGCTAGAGCTTTGCTTTACCTTGGTGCAGTGTTTGGAAAAAAGAAGGATCTCTTTCCATTCCTTTTTTGTTGTTTTTGTTTTTGAGAGAGAGAGAGAGCGAGAGAGAGAGAGCACACATTCACGTGAGCAGGGGACAGGGGCAGACAGAGAGTGAGAGTCCCAGGCAGGCTCTATGCTCAGCGCAGAGCCTGATGCAGGGCTTGATCCCACGACCCTGGGATCATGACCTGAGCAGAAATCAAGAGTCAGACCCTCAACCAGATGAGCCACCCAGGAACCCCTTGGCTTAAATTCTTAATACTTGCATAGTGGGGGAGGGCACATACGGGACGAGGGTTGAGCAGGCAGAGCCCAGGGGAGTTTTTAGGCAGTAAAATTTTCTACGTGGTGGGGGCACCTCGGTGGTTCATTCGGTTAAGCATCTGCCTTTGGCTCTGGTCGTGATCTCACGGTCTGTGGGTTTGAGTCCCACGTCGGGCTCTGTGCCGACAGCTCAGAGCCTGGAGCCTGCTTCGGATTCTGTGTCTCCCTCTCTCTCTCACCCTCCCCCACTTCCAATCTGTCTCTCTCTCAAAAATAAACATTAAAAATATTTTTCTGTGGTAAGTACAAGGCACCACGGTTGTCAGAGGCTATAGAACTTTACAGCAGAAAATGAGTTTTTTTTAAATTTTTTTTTCAACGTTTTTTATTTATTTTTGGGACA